ATCTTAGGAATAGCACCTTGTCGCTAACAAGAATTCCGTCCGCTTTAGCTGAAGTGAAGTGTCAGTCTTCTCTTATGATCCAAGTTTGCGAGAGTTGTCAAGTCCATAGTTCCCCTTGATCATCCGTGTTCGTGATCACACGTTGAGAAAAATGAACGAACTTGCGCGGACGCTCCGTGCATTAGGTGCTGTGCTCTAATTCATCAGTTCCCTCTTCGGTGCAGGTCTGGTACGTCTAAGGTCTAGATGACGGTGCTGCTCCGCTACGAAAATAATAGTAGAGCAAGCGAGGCGCTGAGACTAACGTACGGTGTGCTGCGGTCGCTAGGCTGTCAGACCGGCCCATCTGTGGGATTGGCAATGGCACACCTGGCTGACTGGGCTGCTTGCAGGTCTGTCATGGTCACCAACACCAAGACCACTTACTACCCTTTCCTACATTTCGATGTAATGTACGGAAAGCCGAATTGGAAGCGCGGGGTTTGAAGCTCCCATTAGAATTGCAATAGCCATCGTCTCCATCTGGGCGGACATCGAGAGGTGTCGTCTCGTCAGCTGGACCAGCCTTCCTTTGCCCACAGATTCCCAACACTTCACCTCAGCTCACCTCCTATGTTGGCAGGAGCTTTTGATTATGCTATCTCCCAGCTCAAAGGATGTTGCACCAGACCCTTCTCATCCCGCGCTGTGCTATTCCATTTCTCTGGCTTCCCTGCAGGAAAGCCACCCGGCAAAGCAGCAGGAGGAATGTGTTCCCTGAACAGCCGGAGATCAGTCGTTGTCAACCCACGAGGCAGTCGCAGACCTTTCGTTCCCAGCTTCCCACCTGGGCGATCAAGACATGGTGTTGAGATGAGCCGTGGCCGCGTGGGTGGTGCTCAGCGCGAAAGTTTGCAAGGACAGGCCTGCTATAAGATCAGAGGTGCGTGCAGCTCTCGTTAGGGTGGCTCGGTGGAAGCCTTCTGGAATCGTGGGGTGTCCCCTGGCCGGCCGAAAGGAGGACGCATCCTCGCATAACGGTTGGCTTTGGTAGGCTGAGGGGGCTCGATCAGCTTCGCTCTCCCTCCCTCGCATATCACCAACTGCCTTTCAACTATTACCACTCCAACATGCTTCGCTGCCTCGTTTCAAACGCATAATGTTGCTCATAAGGCTCATCCTACTTCACAGCCGGCGTCATATCTTAAGGTCCGTCCTTGGTATATCCCGCCATAGTTGGCGAGTTGTCTACGTCTCCATTACAATGTTCTCAACCGTCTAGCTTCAAGTCAATATCCCTTCAGAACCTGCTTCAAACTGCCACGATGTCTTGATCTTCTAGAATCGTGTGGACAGGGTTGCTCAACGCAGCAGAAAGTAAAACCAGAGACTGGGCGTGCCGTGCTCCTTCTCCTGCTTTGATGTTGTAGAAGTTTCTCCAGAATACGGATAAATGGCCTCGCCGCACCAAGCGCCTGTCCTTGTAATTTCAGGAGAACCTCTACAGTGCACCGCACCACCAACATCCCCATGAATCCGTCGTGGGACAACTGCGCTGAGACATGACAGCACTGTGTTTGTGTCTCCACGTATAGCTAGCATGTTATGCCTTCGTCTCCTGCCGCGTTGGCGCTCCGCATCAACAGTTCCATGCTCACCGGTCCCAGGTACCACTGTACCTGCGATGACACCTACCTAGCTGTTATTCAAAACCAAAGGCCGAGTATCTCTCGGTAACGGACACTGCCTCATATACCTTCATGACCTTTAATACAGTCCTTATGTTGCCAACGTCATGGGGTCACCAAGAGCTTCTCGTCGCTGCGGATTGATATGAACGCTCCATATCAGCAGACTACTGACCTTCCTTTCTCGACATGGCAGATGCTTCAGCTTTGAAGCGAACCCGCCGCGAGCCGCAACAGCACATCTACTGACAGTATCCTATTTCAAGCAAGCGAAAGGCACGTCACATATTGGCGACACCGGCATGTAAATGGGCCCTGACCACATGGACATGGGGAAAGTACGTGCAGTCATCAGAAAACATCGATTTTCGGCACCAGACTGGTCTCAAGCGCTAGCTGTCAAATTGAGGGCCCAGTCTTTGACAATTAATGATTTGTTAGGGCCGTTCCTAGTGAGCAGTGGCTAGATCTGTGCAGAGTACATGGCTCCGCTAACAGGATTTTGTGAATCCTACCCATCGTTCGGTCGCTACCTTCTAACCCGAATCCAGCATGTGCGAGTCTTGCGGGAAGCGAAGCCACTTGCGACTTCAAGTGTTCAGGCTAATAAGTAAGGCAGAGTTAACAAGAGGATGACAAGTCAAGGTGCTGCTTGGCATCGTTTAGACGACAAGGTGTGCGGCCGTGTTGAAGAGAGTGGCAGACTTGCAGGCGCCATCGAATTCAGATTCTCATGTACCTCAGCACAGCCAGTACACAGCAATGTACAGCGCTCGTACATAAGCGTGGAGCTAAGAGCTTAAATTGCATACAGAAGGCTTCGAGGACGGGCCGAATACTCAGAAGGGCAAAGACACAGCACCTCGTGGCAACCCTGCCGGCTGGGCGCTATAGAATGTCGCTTAAGATGCCGCTGGGTTCGTGGGCGTGTCCTCTTGCAGGCGACTGTGGGGAAGCAGTGATGGCTCGTCAAGGCTCTTACTGGCCAAGTGAACCTCGAGGACTCTTTGTGGACAGCAACCTGATTCTGCTCCAGCCGCCGTCAATGCTTGCCTGCCTCACCTGCCAACAGTAACGCTCGTCCCAGTCGCGAGATCTCATCATAATGTAGGCACTGGAAGAGTAACAGCCATTATGCCCTGTTTCAGGCCATTCCCTCTTGAGAGTCCGGGCCCTTGCGATTACATTTCCTCGGACCCTTTAGCAGCCATGGTAGTCTGGAGGATGGCTGAGCGTTGGGCAACTTCACGGCAGGCAACTGGAGTTGACTTCATCGAGATGAAGTTGACATTTCAAGCTATGCCAAACTCCTATGAATCACATCAACAGGGTCCATTCGAAGCTACCAACAGAGATTTTGCAAGGATACTCGCCCTTTGATGCAGCTATTCCGCTTGATCTCAAAGTACCGCTCTGGCATTCGCCATAAGCTCGTATACATGTGAGCCCCGCTGCTTCTACTGACTCCAACTGGTCATGAGGCTCAGTAGCGACCACTCCGAATATATTAATCGACAACCACCTGATTGGATATATTGCTATCTCAATTCGTCAAACCACGCATGGCACGGGAGCCTGACCCAAGACAAGCAGGATTTTGCCCTCCGCCAATCTCTAGACTTGCCACCACGTACGCTGATGCACGCTAGACGCTCCCCATTACCATCGAGGTGTAGGTATGAAGGTGAATGTACACGAGAGTCACCTGGCAACACTCACCTAGACCCGCCTGCACTTCCAGAACAAGCCTGATAATGTTCTACACTTTCCGTCATACACTTGAGATTAACCTTGGCTTCAGCTGCAAATAATTACATGTGCACCTTTAGCCTTCCAATGGAGCCGTCGTTTGCCATGTCGCAGCGTCGTCGGCAGCGCAGGCGCCACGGTCACATCCGATGGTTGCCTCAATCTGCGGTACCGAAGAATAGGTGACTGAGGGACGCCATTCACCGGGAGAGGAAAAGCCAACCGTGTCCTCAATCGTGGTCCCGCCGTGACCGGCTCTGCGCAGTGGTTGCCAGCGAATACCGGTCTGGTGAAGGCAGTAGTGGACTCTCTGGGCTCCAACTCCAAAGCAAGCAAGCAAGCAAGCATCCTCCGCCGGTTCTTGCTCCGCATCCCTGCTCCGGACCAGACTTGGTCAGGCTTTTCTTGCTCTCTTCGTTATCTCTTTCCTGCATCTGAGCCCTCCATCTTTTTAGTGGCCCAGAGTTTCCATCGTTCTGGTTCACGCTCGGTCATGAAGCCACCTCCATCTCCTTACTGAAAGTGGCTTTTCATCGTCAGTTCATTTCTCCAATTTCTTACTCCGACCGCATCAGGAACCGACTGCATTGCAGCTGTCCCTGGCCTACCTCATCGCTAAACCGGGGTCGGTCGTCGAGTGCCGTGCCATCGAGCGGCGATGTTCTGGCCCCTTTCCCGCTTTTCCTATTTATTTCCCTGCTCCAGGTCAAGTGACATTGTCCAAGAATTTCGCACGTGAGTGAGGCAAGGACAAGGGCATCTACAAGTGCGTCTCAAGCGAGGCCTATTTCCAGACATATACTCGAGCACCGAATCCAGCTGCTGAAACTTCAATATCGAGGCTCCTAAATTTACACAATGCAGTAGTACGCGGACTCATAGGCAGGTCATCATTGGTCAAAGAGACTGCTTCTTATCCACGTGTCTCCTTTGCGTCTCAACTCCGCGTCTGGCCGGCCCCACGGGGTATCTGCTGGTGTGTCTATCGAAGTGCGGAGATGGTTGGTAGCTAATATGACAACCTTCTATCTAACAACTGTGTGTGGGTAGGTGACCGAACAAAGCACCTTATTCGGACGCTCATGTCTATCACTTGACTTAGCTTGTTCTGACGCCCTAGCTGCAAAGTATGCATCAATTCGGGAGGCATGGCACTCCTGCCAGTAAGTCAGTTGTTACTCTGGCTGTCTTGATCGCCTGTGATGCTTTTCCGGCCGTGGCTCGGCATCTACGCCGGACACTACTGCATGATGGACTTGTCTTTGCTGGCAACCACAACCTATGACAAAAGCTTACACCGCACTTTGAGCAAACCAAGCCCACTCATTTTCAGTGACATTCCCATCTTTGACTATCTCTTACTGAGGTTTGATGATTTGGGCTCCAGCATTAGCTCGTGCCTTAGTGTGAGACATCATGTGCATCGTCTCTTGCAGACAAATGCTCTTGATTCTATGAGGTTATGTATGCTGTATTTCTTGGCATCTACAGAACTTTTATTTTCCCTTCCTGTCATTGCATGCTTTTTTTTTACCCCCTGTTTGTGAGGGGAATGACCTGGAGAATATCTAAGGTCTATCCATTCTACTCGTAAAAGATGACGCTAGTGATCTCGCCAGCGACGTCTGTATGCGCAAGGAACGACTTCAGCTTGCCCGTCTCGACATCCCGGTCGATGATGACCACCCGCCCGTCGTTCTGGAGCCCCACGCCCAGCAGCGTGCCGGCCTTGTTGATGGAGAACTGCCTCGGGAACATGCCGCCGGAGGGGAACTCCTGGATGGGCGTCAGGTTCCCGGTGGCGTGGTCGACGGAGAAGTTGATGAGCACGTCAGAGGGGATCTGCGTGCTGTTGCTGGGGTCGAAGTTGGGGATCTCGAACGACGCCTCGCCGCGCGATGACACGATCAGATACTTGGAGTCCGGCTGCGTGCCGATCGTGCGTGTGGTTAGCAAGGTGGTGGTGTTGCACTCGGCTCTCCATAGCTTCTGGCGGACGAATAGACGTAAAGGGGGTCAAGGGAAGAAGGGGTGTGATTTCGATACATGGGGTAAGGGGAATGAAGGCTGCTACTCACAGATAGAACAATCTCAGCAGCACCAGCCCCACTTGGGGCCGTCTTGCCTGCGCCATGCGTGCTGCTTTGGTAGACTTGCTTGAAGCCGAGGGTGTCGTCGCCGTTGTAGGCGACCTCGTAGCCGGTGATGTTGTTGGCCAGCTCACTGACGAGGTACATGAAGGTCCTCTTGTCCTCGGTCACGAGGAACGTGGCATGGCGAGGGCCACTGCCAGGGGTGACCTCGAGGGGCTTGACGGCCGTCCACTCGAGGCTGGTCTGGTTGATGCTGAAGATGCGAACCAGGTCGGCCCCCAGGTCCGGCACCAGGAGATACTGCCCAGAGGGGTCGAGGATCGCCTCATGCGGGTGAGGGGCTTCCTGCCGAGACGGGTTTGGCCCGGGGTGGGGAATGGAGAAGGTCTCGGCTTGGACCGGGGCCAGCGAGGCTGGATTGGAGATAGCGTAGGAACTGATCGAGGATCCCGAGCTGCACGGCGCATGACTTGTTAGAAAGGCAAGGTCTTGTTGACTTGGACGATACCCAGACGCCGCCGAAGCAGCCGCAGACCAGTCAGTATCAAGGAGGCTGGCTAGTCAGGAGCTAGAGCCCCCTTGTACGCCTCGGCTGCGTGCGTAGGGGAGGGGAGGAGGTTTGCATAGTCGTTTAAACAGAAGAAGCCACTTACTATTCCGCGAGAGCCAATCCTCTCCCACCCTCACCGTATATCACAGCACTCACAGGGCCTAGGATGGTGGTGACCGTGTCCAGGTGTACCAGAGTTCCGTCGGCGCTGGTCTTGAAGGCAGACAAGCTGCCGTTGGGTGAGCTGAGGCCCTCATCGGTGCAGTAGAGGGTGGAATTGGGGTAGTCCAGGGTCAGCCAAGAGGGATTGGGGGCACAGCCCGTCGTCGAAGCGATGGACTGCAGGCTGGCCGGCGCGCCTCCTGTCGTGGTGGTGGCGTCCGTCAAGTTCAAGGAAGTGATAGTGCCACTGTATGAACTGACATAGAGGAGGGTGGCCGACGACGCATGTGGAAGCGCCGTGGCCACGACCCCTGCTGCTGCTAAGAAGTCCCTGAACATTGTATTGGCCTGGAAAAACTGGAATATTTGGTCTCCTCTGCAAACGAGTGTGCTGCTGGTGACGACGACAAGAAGGAGACAAAAACTGGTGAGAATAGCAGCGGAGGTGGCCAAAGGGCTCTTCGTCCTTCTCCCACTCGAGGGGCCACTGCTGCCCATCTTAACTGAGGACCCCATAACACAAGCCGAATAAAGGGCAAACAGAGGGCAATTGTTCGCCTCTTCCCGAGTCAGAGTCCCGATCTACGAGGTGCCCTCGGAGTGGGCTCGATGGGTTCCAGTCTTCCTAATCGGGCAACGGATCAATGGGAGACGACCATCTGCCAATTTATCCGGCGCGGGCTTCCCTGTCAATCGAGGGATGGCTTGCAGCTCAACGGTGCATCAAACGCCGGGACTTGTCGATGCCAAGCAATACTGGGTGGAGGAGTCCCAGCGACTAACAGTAATCGAGTAGAGGTTGCGAATGTTGTCCGACTCTTCACTCTGCTCTTCTCTGAACGAGTGTCAAAGTCCGCCAGACCAGACCGCCGCCCTGCTCGCAAAGATGAAGACTAAGTTGAGTAGAGAAGTCCAAGCCTCGCCGAACCCTGAGCAACGCTACCTGCATCCCCTGACCACTGGCAAGGGCCTGTGGGGTAATGCAGTTACCGAGATCGATCCGAACCGGTGAGCGCCAGTTAACGACGTCGAGCCTGATGCAGTACCTACGTTAACGTAGACTAGCTAGCGCGCAGCTGGTCCTGTGAGATGTGAGACGGCTGGTAGCACCGTTTGAGCCCTGTAAGCTGGGGCCGCCTGGCGCCGGTTAGAATTGTCCCTCCACTGATTTTCCTCGCGTGCGGAGAAGCGAGTGGAGAAGGCAAGCAGCCGTTGCATGGCATGAGTCGCTCAGTTGCTGTCGACACGCATGTCCAGAGTCTTGGCAACTCTGGTAGTTGCAGGACGGCTTCACGTAACAGAACGAGCAGAGCCTTGGGCCAACTAAATTGCGAGAGGACTGAGCGGGGTCTGAAACTCAGGTAGCGACTTTGGATTTGCGCAACGACACGATGCAGATGGGATACGCGACATGAGAGCCCCCATGTTTGTGAGTCAGCTAAGAGTGCTAGTTGTTAGTGTACTTGCGGAGTTGTACATACAGCTTTGCGAACCACGGTCTTCGCCCTCCCCAATTTGGCGATTAATCTATCTTACCTCCAATCAGATACTACGGATGACCTATTCTGCACACTGCTCAACCACATATGCCAGTGGTAATGTGCCTCAACCGCACGCCGGACCAGTGCTCTCGCTACCCGCCGGCCCCCCAAGAGATCAGCATTGATAATTCATAAAGGCCAATGTGTGATCGTATCCACCTGTAGAGTGATTATGCTCATCCATTTGGTACGGCGGCCGGTATCAGACACCTAGCTCACGGAGTTGATGCTAGACGAAGCAAGTCTTCTCATGGAGAGGAATTCCCTGTGGGTGTCTTGCAATGCACTATAACAAAGTCAAGGCTTTCTTCTCCGTCAAGGTCATAGACTGCAGTGGTTAGTTTGATGTTCTGCCCTGCGCATTTTCACAACCGTGTTGGAGAAGTAGATATAAGAGGCGTTTTAAGCCTCTAGACTGTGCCCCTGCCTTGCAGACGGCGACTGCAGCTAAGCATCTTGCTGAGACATTACTGCTGAAGGAGATCGCACAATGCTACGTCTTTGAAATCATCCAGCTAGTGGCTGGCGACGCGCAGTTTCTCTCGCTGCGATATCTCGTGTGGGATGTGTCCCGGCACTCGTACCCAGCGCGGGCTGCCTGCCGTGAGGATATCTCACGATTTCGGCAATGTTGAATGAATCACATTCCCCTTTTCAGAATGCAGCGGCCCATACCAAGACACAAGTGGTCTGGAGTGCAGTTCATTACCTCTTTTGTGATCTCTGGGAGACCAAGATGGACAAGTCTCCAGCCTCATTCAGCGCCTCCCAGCCATGATGTCGACATCGTGACAGAAGCACGATGTCACCTCAATGATGAGGAGTGCTCCATTCAGTATCATATACTTGAGCAATCTCGGGATTTCAATCGTCTGAGAACCTCGACGACTAAAGACGTTGAGAGCCCAAATTCTGTGACATTCGATTGGTTCGTGCTAGAACCCAAAGTTCTGAAATGCTGGTTTGACACGTTACAAGGGAGCAAAGCTTACATGGCCCCTTTGGCGACAATATGGTGTGGTGTAGATGCATGCCAAGCATCGACAGCTACGAGATTTATGTTGCGGATATGCCGGCGTTTTAATCTTCTGAGGTGATCTTGGGGTAAATTATCATGACAAAACTACTCGACCAGTTTTGCGGAGTAGTGGTCGAGGTGATGATGGTCATTGACGCAGGCACGACGATGACCACTTAAGCCTCTGCCGAGTGGCAGGAAACGATGCGGCCAATCATGAAGGAAGTTGGGTCTCCTTCCAACCTCTTTGAGGCCCTAGTACCTATTATCAGAGGCGGCTTGAACATATCGTCGAGAGTGCGATGTGGTTACATTTGGAGGCTGATGCAGCATGATACAGTCTACTTTTCCATATTGAGACGATGCTACACCCCACAATCCACTGGCTACAGTGACACGATGTTGCTCGTGGTATATTTGACCGCCATATCTATAGAATGTCCCTCTTGCTATTTGGTTTCTGCAACTAAAACTGCAGCAGGGAACGAGATCTCCTTTGAGCACACCTTGACTCAAGTTTTCGTATTTTCACTGCCTGAATCGCTGGACGACCGTGCGCAAGGAGGTATTCCACGGTTGAGAGAGTTGGAGATCCGCCGGCTGTAAACGGTCTGCGGACCGTTGAGAGGATCCTGAGTGCTCCTTCAGAAGTGATGTCACGATATTATTGTTGCACTATTGCTGGCGAAGAGACGGCATGGACTGAGGTCTCCATCGGAACTTTATCTGTTGTCCGTATGATAGTCTTGGGTTGTTGGGCTCCTTGAAGTCTATGGAGCTTGAGTTGTGGGCGAGGTGTCGATATCGGCCAACAGTTTAGCCCCAGAAGCACTTCGGCGTAACCGCAATCAGAAGAACTGCAGCTGGGCTTTCGTCGTGGATGAGGCAAAGTAGTACTATTGTGTGGAAAGATATCTCTTGGGATTCCACGCTCTTCATACAGGGCGGATCGTCAACAGATCGATACTGCTCCTTGGCCTATTCCTGCTGTTCCAGGGATCGGATTTCCATGGACGGAATTCCGAGAACCCATGCGCAAACCGAGATGACGTTCTCTTTTGCCTTTTTAAAATCATGAGATCTTATTCTTTCATTATCGGACTCCCAAGTCATCTCCGTGAACTTGGCACCAAAATCTTGTGGTTGCCCATCATCTCCCATAACAAGCTTCATTTTGACCTCTGCTATTGGGTACCCAGTCCAGCTTCTGGTCATATGCACCGTAGCGTTGCCTTCGGCATCCGGTCCGTCCGTGAACACAAACCACTTATCTTCTTGCTGCCTAGGCAAGTATCCGGTAAGTAGGTTGCTGACAGCGTCCTCGGGAAGAGCGAACTCCCAAGGTGTTGTCACCGGCATAGAAAATGTTCCTGACTTCCAGTCTCCACGGTTGGCTCTGGCTTCCTGTGGCGCACCTCGTTTGCCGAAAGTTGCCCAGTGGCGTAAAGCCTTGATGTTTACTCCTTCCATTTTTGAGGCTCACAGTAGACGCAGGTGTGATGTTTGGAGACGAAGGCGCAGGATTGTCGAAATCGAAATACTCCTCGAGTTCACTAAGCTGGGCCTGTGGCTGAGCGAGTCGAAGATGAGCAATAGGTGCGGCAAGGTTCTGAGGCTGAGCACGAACGAAATGGGAGGGTGGACGACCAAATAGAGTTCAAGTTCGAGAACCTGTTGAATCGAAGGTCTGAAGTTGTTAATAATTAAAAATCCAAGTGAGGGTGATGTATCTATCGGGGGAGCTGGAAGGCCTTATATATAAAGCTCGAAGCTAGGCAGAAACGCCAGTCACCTCTTGCACAACCTGGTGGAAATTCTTAGGGCCAAAGGAACAACAAGCTAACCCAACTCAGCCCCAGAGATGACCTAGAGATATAAAAGATGTTCAAGACCATAAAACGCCTCAAGGCTGAGGATGGTCCCTGAAAACATACATTTCAATATCTGTGAGTCGTGTCAGCATCATTTAAGAGCTATATGGAGCAATAATGTATTTGAAGAACGATCTTTCGCATCCATCAACACCCACGCTGACTCACCTGAAAAGATACCTAGGTACCTAGGTAGTCTAATAGAGTTACTGCTGTCTTGATTATAGGCGTCCTATTGCGTTGTAGTAAACCATCCGAAGCGATAAATGAGATGCCTTTGCAGTACCAAGTCTCCAGACTACCAAATCCTGCAAGTGATTGGCCAAGACCATGACCTGCCACTGGTGAATCTGGCTCAACCACGCTGATGATGACAGCACTGTCTACTGCGACTTCTCTTGAGCCCCCAATATTAGAAAGATTGACTGTCCTCCTGATATCCTTTGATTGTGACAGAAGGTAACGGTTCTTGAGGCTGATCACTCGGCCGATAAGATATTCCGTCAGAGTGCCGTGCAAGTGGAACAGGGGTCCTTTCAGCCAGGACAGGTGCACTACCGGCTAGCGCCCCTGGCCCAGCTAGGGCTTGGCAACCCAAGCTAAAGGGATGAATGACGCGCTGCTAGAAGCCAGACGCGCCCTCTTTATTTGTATGCAAAGTTGGCCAAGGGATGAATTGCGACAACGACACAAAGTCGCCAACGGACTGTCTCATTTGAGCTCCACTTGCACACATTGGGACCTGTCGCATGTGAAGCATCTTGCTGAGCAATTGAAAGAGCCTCTGAGGCTGCGAAGCTGGTTACAAAGGACTTCCAAAGACACTGGATCCTGGCTGCGTCAACCGGGGAAAACAGGTGGCCACGATGGCATCCTCTTATCCATCCTCCTCCTCTAGAAGGGCGTCGACAAACCAAAACAAAGACACGGATGCCGACCTACTGCAGTCACTAAATCAGCTCTCCCTTTCTACATCGTCTCCAGCAAAATCGCCCCGCTCACCCAAGCCAGGTGGCCCCTTCAAACCTTCTCTCAGTCGCTCCCCAAGCTCTCTCAGCATCAGATCCAACCCTCCCCGAAGCCCTCTCAGCGGGCCCTCATCCTCAAATGGACGCGACTCTCGTTCCGCTACTCCGACTTTGCTCAGGAAAGCTTCCTTGAATTCACTTCACTCTCATTCTGTGAACGGCGTTGCGCCCCCGCGGCGAGCCAGTTCTGTCAACATGCGATCGCCTTCGATGTCAAGATCGCCGCTTCGCAGCATCTCTCCCGACCCCCCAGAGAAGCCGCAAGTCACCGCGGCCACGGTTGCGAGTGCGCACTTCAAAGCGGAGCTGGAACTGCACCACGGAACGGGTTCCGGGGCAACAGCCGAAACGGTAGTCATCCTCCACGACTCCTGCTACGGGCATCGATATTCCCGCCCGCGCACCTCTCGAGCGGCGCTGAGCACCATAGTCGAGCGGCCTGAGAGAATAAGGGCTAGTGTACTAGGCTTGGCTACGGCATATGTGCGTCTAGGGGAGCGTCATGCGGATGGCGCCGTTCAACCACACCCGAAGCTCGATGTCGCGTCACTGCCGTCGATACCTTTTAGAATCCATAAGACCACGAGAAGATTGCCCCTCATGTCGGCGACAATAACGAATGTTCACGGGACGAAGTGGATGGAGGAGCTCAAGATCATGTGTGACTCAGCAGAAGCCAAGTTAGCCATGAACGGCAAGGAACTACAACGACCAGAGATCAATCGTGGACCAGACCATGAGGCGCCTAAGAAGCTACATGAGGGAGACCTCTACCTCTGTGCGGAGTCACTTGAGGCACTTGAGGGTGCACTAGGGGCTGTATGTGAGGCAGTCGATTCTGTGTTTGTGAACAATGGGCCGAAGCGGGCTTTCGTCGCTATCCGACCGCCAGGACATCACTGTTCGGCATCGTATCCTTCAGGTTTCTGCTGGCTCAACAATGTTCACGTGGGCATCATGCATGGCATTTTGAGCCACGGCCTAACTCATGCGGCTATCATCGACTTCGATTTGCACCACGGCGACGGTTCGCAATCTATCGCTTGGCAACATAATTCGCGGGGCGTTGGGCTCTCGAAAAACGCAGCATGGTGGAAGAAGACGTCTATTGGATATTTTAGTCTGCATGATATCAACTCCTACCCCTGCGAGATGGGTGACGAGGAAAAGGTCAAGAACGCCAGTCTCTGCATCGACAATGCTCATGGTCAAAACATATGGAATGTCCATCTTGAGTCGTGGAAGTCAGAGGCTGAGTTCTGGAAACTTTACGAAAACAAATACTCCGTCTTGCTGGAGAAGACGCGCAAGTTCCTCAAAGAGCAGACGGAGCGCCTTCGAGCTGCGAACCAGAACGCCAAAGCCGCCATTTTCTTCTCAGCAGGCTTCGATGCTAGCGAATGGGAAAGCTCAGGCATGCAGCGACATAAGGTGAACGTCCCCACCGAGTTCTATGCTCGCATTGCTCGTGATGTGACGAAGATAGCTGAGGAGGAAGGTACCAGCGTGGAGGGACGTATCATAAGCGTTCTCGAAGGTGGATATAGTGACCGTGCGTTGACCTCAGGAGTACTCAGCCATCTTAGTGGATTAGCTGGTGGCGACCCAGTGACCAGCGAGGAAGCATACAACGGTCTAGGCTTCCAGATGGGCCAGAGGATTGGCTCAGTACACACGAGGACGGAGTCAGTGGACCGAAAAGCCAAGAGGCATCCATACGAGCCATCCTGGTGGGCAATATCTGAGTTGGAACGTTTGGAGAGTGCAGGTCTTCCAGTAGAAAACGAACCCAAGAAACCTCGAAACTTCGCTCCACCGACATATTCGTCGCCAACTCAGTCTTCCTCTGCAAAAGTCGTTGTAGCACCGAAAGTTCGACGGAGTGTTTCAGGACTGGGCAGTGGCTCGCCTATAGCCATTTCTCGACCTCCTTCTCCACCGCCTCCAGAGGTACCATGGACTGTCGCAGCTCATGAGCTGTGCAACCTTCTTGTGCCAACTGATCGCACCACTGCCAGTTGCCAACCAGAAGACTTGTCCGCGGAAGCAACTCGTGTGCGACGCGAGAAACAATCGGCCTTAGTAGGAGAGTCGTCAGCAAGCAATACTGTTGCTGCTGTTGCTACTCCTACGAGATCGAGAATGGCGTTAAGAGAGCGCAAACCAGCGAAGACAATCGCTGAAGAGGACGAGAAACCGGATAAGAACAGACGGAAGACTGTCGCCGGCACGCCACTACTCCCAACTGAAAAGGTATGTTATATCTGGCTTTCATTCCATATAAAGTTGCAGCTGGATTCTAATGTGCACAGACATTATCACGGAGCTCGACTCCAGTTCCAGGTCCGCGACTACCCCCCAGACAGTCAGGTAGACGTCTTAGTGCCGCGTCGACCATTGTGTCCGAAACTCCTGACTTAAGAGACCTCTCTGCTGGACCAACGAACGGTTCAGGTTCTGAGAGCTCCATAAATGTCAGGCCAGGATCATCCATGAGTGTCAAAACTACCACTGGTGCTCCTCTCGCTGTAAAGAAGACGAGACCAGCCAATCCTATTAAGAAAGAGGCGACAAAGGCGGTTCCCAGAACAAAGAAAGCTCCTATCACGACGGGTCGGAACGCTCCGGCCTCGACGAGTTCCGCGAGCTCCACTGCGTCTGCAAAACAGGGCGCCGGGCCTTCCACGACTAAGTCTGGTGATGACATGGACAAGCTCACAAGCGGCATGAAAAAGATAAAAATTAACCTCGTGACCAAAGCACAGCGCGAGGCACGCGAACGAGAGGCAGGAGGCAAGGTGACGAAAGGAAGATCTTCGAGATCGGCGTCTCCTATGAAAGTAGATGTGCCCCCTACGCCAACCATCCCAGAGGCATACAGACCTACTGCCTCAGCTCAGATGCCACCGCCGACAGTGGAAACAAATGAGGGACAACCCGTGACTCCAACATTACAGGCAGTGGCTCCAGACCAATATGTCCTACCGGCACCACCTGTCGCGAGCGGGCCCGTCACTCCGAGCCACGAGCAACCGCCAGCGCTTTCGCCGATGACCGCGCAGCGTGTTCCTCTACCTCCAAGCTCGCCAGTACAGGCTCCAGAACCGGCACCCCAACCTGCACCAGACATGTTCATATCCTACCAGCCCGAAGGTCCGGCTCCTGCAACCATCCCCCAGCAAGAGCCCCTGAAATGGCTGCCGCCAAATACGGCCACCCCCATGTCGACTCCGAGTCCAATGAAACGGACAGATCTACCAGTATTCACCGCGACTTCTGCCATACCCTTTGCGGTTCGCTCCGCGGAAGGCGGTGCTTCCACTCCTAAGCTTGAACCGACCGTCAAGCCTGAGTCGAAGTCGTCTAGTTCTATCTGGGAGGTGCCAGAGACTCCTCAGAAGTGAAGCTCACAATGCGCTTGCGCGTTATGTAATTCTTAGTTGGTCAACAGCCTGAAAGATATCTGGCGACGACTTGGCTGTAATGTGTGTTATTGATAGCCAGACAGAGGACCTTGATGCCGCAAGGCTTGGAAAGCAAGGTCACGTTCAGTTTAATGTTGTTTCTGCGTTGTACATTTTTGACAACACGATACCCCTGGTCGCCTTTTTAATGCTGCTAGAGTGTTGGGGATACCAAGATATCGAATTCTTTGCAATAAAACTTATTTTCACAGAGTAACCATGTTGAGCATTCACACGAAACAGTGACCTATATAAATACACATCCTTGGTCGACGTCGCTTTCAGATCGAGGTGCTCTACATGGGTAAAACCAGAATGTAGGTGTATTGAGAGGTCTCTTGATGTTATATCACTGCCAGACTAGAGCTCTACTACGTAGTGACATCTCAAGCTTAGAGCAACTCGCAATTGTAAAAGCTATATAGTCATATAAGACGTACTCTCGAAAGCAAAAAAAGAATATGGAAACAAAAAGTGAAGTGTCTAGGAACAAAAAGGCGAGGGGCTTTGTCGGGATTCGAACCCGAGACCTCTTACATTCTTGACACATTTTTGATGTGTGGGAGGAAATTCCCGAAGCAAGAATCATACCACTAGACCACAAAGCCGGTCGAGATCTGATTCGACGACGCCAAAATTGAGCTTATGCAATATTGAAGAGTGCCCCACTTAGCCAGAACATCTAAGATTAAGTGAAGTGCCCGCACTTGACACTTCTCGTTCTATATAAGTAACAACTAATATTTGCATGATGATCGCAGATTTGAAAATGATTAGCCTAGATGTATACCTGTGGTCTATCCACTAGATATATGCCAGCTTTTTTCTTAGCCTTCCGGTCTCAAAACCAGTTTCAAAGTGCTGTAAAGATATGAAGTGCATTCCGCCAGTCACATCACTTGTAGATGACAAGGCAATTGCAGGCGTCTGACTTCCTGCATCTCAGCCGCACGAGAAATAAAGTTGACCAGTTTCAACATTGTGGTCCAAGTCTGGCCAGCTAGAATAATACATCCAGTGTTGATGCCCCTAATGGATGAGAACGATCAGGCACGCCATACGAGGATCTGGGATAAATCAAAAACTATGGCAGAAAGAAACCCTTGAACGCGAAAACACTGGAAGGGTCTGGAGAATGCAGCCTTTCGTCCACTGCCGCGCAAGGTAGTAGTCCAAGTCATGGTGGACCCTTCATTGCTGATTTTACGATAGGAGGTGTCGCCTGCTCCTCCGAGGTACCGTCTTCTTCTACTACAGCAACTTCGAGACCGAGTCAACCCCCTACAGCTCCTGCAGATTCCCGCCCTATGACAGAACAATCTATCTCGGCATTGGAAGACCGCTCGATTGAGAAAAAAGCCAAGTCTGCTGGAACAGCTCCATCGGAAACCGCTGGAGTTTGTGATCTTGTAGACAGAGTTAATCATGACGCTTCTCTGTAGGATACTGCATATGAAGCCCTTAGAACCGAAAAATCTAAGCTAGTTAGTCAGAATGAGGACCTTCTTACACGTGTGTTGAGACAAGGTGAGCTCCTGCCTTCATCCGTTACGTTTTTGTATTCTAACATAAATCATCGTAGCCCGATTGAAGCGATCGACATCCCCCAGCAAGACAGATGATCATGCTCAGGTGGCATATGAAATCCCTAAGGGTGACGCTGCTGCCCGCCGACAGAAGATGGAGTGTATAATAGAGCTAGGTTTACAACATGTGGAGGATAAGAAAGTGGCCACCATCAGACGCTGACGAGACAGCCTGGACCTGTACGGACAGGGTCTGTCGCTTGGTCGTCAAATGGCAAGCTCGCGTATATCTCTGGCTGGTCTACAGTGATTGTTTGGGATTCATCTACAGGACAGCATCAGATTCTTCCCGACCTCTCATCTCTACCGGATAATCGTCACATAACGCCGTCATTTACCTGGTCACAGGATAACAGACTTGTGGTAGGAATAAGCCGCGGTACAATCATGCATACTCCTATATATATCAGCCTCAGACTTTCTAGCAGAACAATCCACGGGAACATCAGGCATAAACAGAGAGAGTTTACCAAAATAACCAATTCGAAGTTCTGCCGTGCTTGAGCTATTGACAGCCACCAGGAATATACTAGGTAACCCAGGGCTATCACACACGCATCCTGTCAGGGATAGTGCTGTGTTAGGTTAGTACATGCAATAGCAAGTATTGAATAAATGAGATTCTTACTGTAGAATACCAGGCCTGCAACAGGGAAGATAGAGATAACTAGCAATTCCACAATCCTGAGCTCTTAAATTACAGGGTTAGTTGATTCTCTACACTGTATGTATTTGCCAGACTTACGCATTGGAGCGAGAACAGACTATATATATATATTAACAGTATAGGAAGGTATTGGGGTTGAGGTGTGTAGGATAGTAAGTTGAATACTAATAACTAAGGAATAAGGGCGTTTTTCTTTAGTGGCTATGCGAGAGTAGTAAGTAAATATTAGACTTGATAGATATATAAGCAATTTCTCTTCTGCTGTTGGGACTCTTTAAATAACCTTCACATCCTGGACTTCACGTCGCTGTCTTGTCTCGAATCCTCTGTGTTGGTCCAGCTTTGAAGGAGAACTTTTATTGGCTGGACCCTGGGCGAAAGTTTGGGAACGTCAACCTACTAGAGGTTCGTAACAGGGATTACAAAGTTAACAACCAACACCTAAAAGATAACCAACTGTAGGTAGGTAAGGCAGAATTACCCAAGTGAAACCAGTTTGCCCACTTTTACCAGGCAGAGTTCAGTCAACTTCTCGCATCTTCTATACTAAGGGGTTCTAAACGCCATTTATTTTATATGAAATTCTACATAATATAACCTACAAGATGATTTCTGAAATATTAATAGAACCACCGGTTTTCAGCAGTTAACTATCTCACCGCTAGAAAGCACCCGAGCTCCGTTGTCTAGAAGCTTCTGGGGCGGCCGTTGCCAGTTAAGGACCTTATCACCCCTAGCCCACGCATCTCGCCGCCTCTCATAAAAATTATCCACGGTCGAATAGACTGGCTGCCCATGTGCATCTTTTAGGCAAATGGTCTTCTGCGGGGGCTTGGGCATGGCCGGCAAGTCAATGGCCCTTGGAACATCACCTAAACAGACTCCTGCCCTTTGATCCTGCCACTCTTGCAACATAAGCTGATATGACGCAACTGGATGGTCTAGCTTTACCTCCGGATGCTTCACCCACTTTGACGTAAGGCTGTTAAGGTTCTGGTCTTCGTGAGGTATATCCCGGAGACTATAATCTTGAGTAATAATCTCGTAGGTGGTGAATATAACGCCTTTGATATCGTTCCGGTCCTCGACGTACTCCTCACCCTCTGTAGATGAAGGGCAATCCATGCGAGCCGCAAAGTTGAAGTCAAAGAGCATGATAGAGTCTGTTGACTCATCAATCAGGAGGTTTCTTGGGGCAATGTCTTGGTGCGTGATGCCATATTCAAGGTTCAAGTCATCCACGACCTTGATAAGCTGTCGGAGCCACTCCAGCTTGAAAACGCGCGACCTGTTCTCCTCCAGATTACCGCCAGGCATATAGACATTAGTGAATCCGACTACCCGACCCTCGAGCTCGTCAACGACCACCCGGTCAAAGGGAACAATATTTGGGTGGCGTGGAAGGCGCATCCACAAATTCATCTCCTTCCAGGACACTTGTGCATACTGCCACAAGAAGTAGTATTTAAAGATAACCTGCCCAAGAGTCAGCTTCATTACAGCACGAAACAATCTAAGGGTGGAAACCCAGATTTTACCTTTTTAGCAGATCCATCTAGGCATGGAGGGCATGTAACAAGTTCGACGTCAGGACCAAGCCTCTCAAGTTCCTCAAGTTGGTCCCGCCGTACTGTCTGAACTCCTTCCGGGAGACAAGTGTCTTGAAGGGATGGATAGTGTATGCAGCAGGTCTCATCGTCTTTTGGATCATTGTATGTCGAGATGATCTCACCGGTATGCGATATATAGATTCTGTAAATATCGGGAGATAGTTGATCACTATAGCGGCTGAGATGTTGAATAGCGAGACTTTCGTCGTCCTGCTCCCCGTCCATGGTTACGGAAACGACGCGTCTCTGGTCCCAATCCGTAATATGCCAAGTGCTGGGACCACCAACAGGAATACTGCCGCTCAGAGAAAAATACTTGGAATCGTCGTCAATCATGTTGCTGCATTCTTTGGCAAGTAGGGCATACAGATTAAAGAGGGATAGAGCAAGGCAGGGTGAGAAGGAGGATGACTTCGACAGTGAAGTTGGTAGAGATAAAAAGAGTGCGGGGCATTGCTACTGTGGATGGTATCACTTTTACGGGCTCTGTGGACACCTCGTACAACGGCAACCGCTCAAGTGCGGTCGCAAGCGTACGCGTTCTGGACAGAGTGTGTTCTGCGATGCTCCAAAGGCCGCGCCGCAGTATAATGTAGCGGGCTACTGGGTCAACGCTTATTGCAACCAGTGTATGGGAGGACAGTAGCTTGATGGATTTCTCGAAGACTTGATAGATCGGGAGGAATAAGGGGGGAAGGAGGGAACGGTAAAGCTAGTATCACTACACCATTCGTCCGGTCATATGTCTGCTCTGTCTCTATGTTACAGGTGCCTCGGCGCAAAGCATCGCGAACGGCAGGGGCAAGCCACCCTCCTTCCACCGTATCCAGCTCTTTCAGGGGGTTCGCAACTAACACAACCGTGCTAACAAACAAAGTCTGCAATAAAGGAATGTAAAGAAGCCGCAAAGATATCCAAACCGGGCCTCCGGCTCTCTTGTCGTAGATCCATGGCCGTAACCATCATAGTCATAGCATCCCGACTCTGTCGGCGGGGTGCTGTCCATTGATTTCCTGCAGAGTCCATTGTATGCCCCGGACCAGTACTGTAGCCACCTTTAGGCTAACAGGACCACTGGTATCCCGAAATGAGAATGACTCCCTGCCGGTTCCGACCGGCAACCCCTTTTGTTTTTGAGTCCCATGGCCAAAAATCTGTTAACGAAAACGCCGTGCGCCAGAAAAGTTCCGTCTCCACAAGAAAAGCAAACGCGCAAAATAATCATGTAGAAGCATTGAGGATAACATATAAAGCTGCTATCTCTAGAGGGCAAGACCGGTGCCATCACCGGTCCAACGGTATAAGGCCAGAAGCTCCCTACGTCGTTGATGCTGCTCGCCGAGGTCCTCTGGCACACGGCCACGGACCTGGGCAAGAGCACTTCGCATGACTCTGCTGAAGTTGCGCTGCGATGAAGATTAGCTTCAGTTTACTTTATGTTGGTGGACAAAGGTAAATGAACTCACCTGATATTCAGTATTAAGAGTGACAACACATGCTTCATGAGCCCGAATGATAGTTTCGCAAGCTTTCACGACACTAGGCGAAGCTTCAAATTGCAGCTTGTCTGCAATCAAGAGTAGGAGGAAGGAGCCCTGGAGAAGGTAAATGCCGAAAAAGAAAGGCATGAACTCTAGGCCAGGGTCGAACTCCAGAATGTGACTTATGGCCTCTGCAGCAGACACGGCGTGGCCGGTTGCTGTGATGAAACCTTGAGAGCTGATCCACAGGTCATTGTCGTCAAGGAGGTTGATAGGATCCCATTTTCCGGTGAGAAGAATGTGTAGAACATGCATGACATGAGTACCATATGCCATGACAATACGAGTCTGGATATCAGACTCCGTCATTCTACTAGCGCTCGTATGCACGCTATGGACGGAGTGCACGGAGGGTGTCCCAATGTCATTAGGACCACCAAGCCCATCATTCCCCAAACCAGACGCACCGTCATTTTTATCATCCATACCACCTTGAGCATTTGTGCTCATATTCATCTGCTCGAAGCGCTTCAAGCTTCGCTCATAGGCTTCTAAATGTCGGCAAATTTCGGTGGCTTGATCATCCCACTCACGAGCAGAGCGAAATCCGACGCCAAATCGCGGATGATTGCGGGCATGGTGTAAATCGACAATTTCACCCAGAATCGTCATTAAAGGTAGGAAATAGCCAAATATGCTGTGACCGCTGCATTCAAATGTTGGACCACGCACGCGGTTTGAATGCTGGACGCCTGAGGGGTCCGATGCGAGTACGTTCGGATCGGTAGTGGGGTACGGATGAAATTCGCCATTCTGGTAAGCAGTATCATCCAGAGGCTGCAACAAACCGTCACATTCGATATCGAGAAGGAACAAAGGACGGTTGTAGCAGAGAGCGAGGTGGCGATCAACGATGTAGACGAGCCACCAGGCACGACGGCGCTCCTCACGTTCTTCCTCAGTAATGACGCCAGGCACGTTATTGCCCATCTCATCTTCGGGGTTGCCGTCAATGTCGTCATCTCCTTCCGGTGAGCTCATGGATGGCGGCAGCTCCTTGCCGAGCTTCAGCTCACGAGCTAAAGACCACGCTGCGTTCCACCAGCGTAGACTTGCACCCTTGTATTCGCTGGCAGAAACAACGGTCGCCAAGTGGATGTACGTGACAACGTCATCCAAGGTTCCAGCTGCTCCAAAGGCACCGGTTTCACTTGTAAGTGCCTCCATGCTAATTGTTCCAGGAAGTGCCACTCCCAATCCGCCTAGTGAAACTGCACCGTCCATCACTGGGCTTGACACAGGGGATGCGTCTCCCGATGGGGTGTGAATCAGGGGTTTCAGAAGACTGACCGTTAATTCAAGCAACTTCTGGCAAATTTTACCTCGAGCAGAAGGGACGCTCGTCAAGTACGGAGCATCGCTTGTTTGTGCAGCAACCCAAAGGATACTTGCTAAAAGGGCTGGCTGGCAGTGTCGCGGCTTTGACGGATGTATGAATGATCGTTTTCGAAAAACGAAACCTAGAACATAAGGTGACATCGGGTGCATCTGAGCGGAGGAGGAGCTCGCAAAGTAGAGATCGATCAGATCGCAGGCTAGAGATAAGGGAATGATATTTGCAAGATGTGGAACAAGGGGTTCCAAGACTGGATATCGGAGTGGTGAGTGGGTATAGTTGTTCTGAGGGATCTGAGTCTGATATTGAGGTGGTGGAGAGGACATGGACATCCATTCTGGTGAGGTGGCGTCTCCAGCCATTGGGTAGGCACTGAGCGGGCTAGTTCCCATTCGAAAGGAGTTTGCATTTGCGGAGTATCCTGTTGGGCTTTGCGTTTGTAAAGCATAGGGTAGATCAGGATAGGTCGACATGTTGCCCTGATTGCCACCATACGCTGCGTGGGCTGAGGTATTGATCATATGCGGGGCCATTGCCTGCCGATCATAGGCACTGTGAACGCTTCCATAGCCGTTCAGGTCCAATGTTGTTGGGCCTTCAAGATGATCGCGATCCATGGCACCTGGATGACCTCCCATGTGGGACTGATGCGCTGCCATGTCAGACAAGCTATCAAGACTTCCTGTCCTTTGGCTTCGTGAGATGCCATCTTCGCCAAGGTCGTTCAAAACTTTGTCATTATTAGCCGAAGACTGATCGCTTGAGATCATTGGCTTCGAATCGTGTTGTTCAGACTGGCCGTTATCTGCCCCCTGAACAGGCGACTTTTGACCATTCTGAGCAGCAGCAGCCGCTGCCGCTTGCTGGGCAAGATCTTTGCGGGATGCCTTTCCTCGTTTCTTCCTTTCCCTGATATACTCGCAACCTAAACCAAACTCTGTGCCTAGTTAGCAACTGGACTCTACAAAGACAAGCAGTGGCTGGCTACTCACCTATGCAATGGGCGCAAGGGTGCTGACCATCGCACTTTGTTCTGAGCTGGTTGCACTGATCACAGGCTCTGCTGATTCTTCGTCGTATGGGACCGGCAGCTCCTGTAGCCCGCGCAGTAGGCCCGTATGGGTGCTGTCGGTGCTTCGCCTGAGGACCGGCCCGAGCTAGATGTGGGTTGTGCACGCCAACATGTTGCTGAAGCTGTTGAAGGGCGTAATGCGAGCCCTGGGCTAGAGTATCCAGGCCGGTGGCGTGTAAATGCCCAGCTGGAACGTGACCATTAGAGAGAAGTGTTGAGGAGGGGATAGAGTGATAGGGCGAGAAGCGGTGGAGTGGATTGGATAACATCTTGACGTCGTTATGCAAGAAGCTCCAAGTGGGCTCAAAAATGTGAGTAGGGTGGATGAGTGAAATCGAGCTTGAGAGACCGGAGAGTCCAGGAGAATATCAAGAGATAAGACGTGCCACTTCGAACGAGTGCGGGCAGTTGGGTGAAGCTATGCTACGCCGATGAGGTGAAAGGAGAGCTGGACTGGCGAGGTTCGTCGAGCTTGACGGCGGATGTCACAGCTATCTATATCTTTACTCTTGGCGGCGTTGGCGAGCTGCCGGACGGGAACCACTTGTAGTCAGCGGTACATGGACGGGCCGAAGTGATCTTGTGTGGGGAAGACTAAGAGGGCATGAGCATTGAGTTATGTCGAGCCAGCATGACAGACGCCAAACCAGTGGAAAGGGATCAACGCGGTTGTAGGACCACACGGCACAGGCATCTGCACGATGGAAGCAGAAACCAATACCACATGGCGGGGTTGGGGTGTGTGTGAGGTATCAAGAGAGACTCGGGGGTGAGGGCAACAATTTAGATGACAAGGGGGTAGGCTTGCAATGAGACCATGTCAAGAACGTGGGTGCCAAGGAAAGGGACTTTCTGGACGTACGGGGAGAGATTTGAGGGACCGATGAGCTGGTCTGGTCTGGCCGTTTGGTTCTCCGGGAAAGGAAGTGGTGGCGCAAGGGGGAGACCTCGTCCGTCAGGTCGTGTCGGCCTCGTCTCGTCTCGTCAGGGCCTGTCTCGTCACTGGTGGTGGGCCCTAGCTGCCTCTCTTTGCACTTCCAGACTAGAGTTGATGGCGAGCCGGCCGCTCTCTCACAAGGAACAGCCCAGGTCACGGGCAACTTTCTCGTCGGCGTACCTGCCGGTATAGTGCCTCGAGAGTGAGCGGAAGGAGTTGGGAAAACCAAAAGGACCAAAGGATACCGAATTCGTCCACAAGACGTAAATCGGTAGGTTCTCAGCGGCGGGCGAGTCTTGAAGCACTTTCTGGTGCAATGTCTGCGGCCTTGGCATGCATGTATAAGAGGAGGTGATGAGCGTTGTCAGAAGAGCTTGTTGGCGAGACTGGCCTCGATTGGCGAGAGCATTCGCCTTCTCATATGAACGGAGGCAATATCGAGTATCGCATTTATATTGGGACCACAATATACAAGCGGCGGGACGGGAGACGTCTATGGGAGAGGCAGGGTGGGACGAAGGTGTGTGCGTGAGAATGTGAGTGGAGGAGAGCCAACACCGCGGGCGCAGTGTAGTGCAGTCAGTGTAGGTGTGAATGAGAGTACCTCAAGGTCAGCTCACTCGTGACACTCTTGTGATGCTCTCCGCGCACGTTGGAACTGCCGTTTGAGAAGGAAGATCCGACTTGGAAGACGGTCCAGGAAGAAGCCAGGTCAGGAATAGGGTAGGTAGCGGAGGTAGTCCGAGGCAAGGACGTTTAGTTATTTCATATTAGACAGACAGGAGGGTCTGAGGGGAGAAAAATGGAGTGATGGGGTCGACTGGGGACTGATGCGATTTGTTTTCCCCTCATGTGAGGTGCCCTGGACCAGCCTAGGCAGGTCCGGCGGGGACAGGCACAAAGGTCGGGGTTAGTCGGTCAGTCACTTCAGTCAGGTCAAACAGTCAAACGGACAATCAACCTCGTGGTCGCCAACGTTAGTCGCAACCGACCAGACCCTAGCTCGACAAACCCGACCTTCCCTAGCATGTTAGTTAGTTACTGACTGACTGACTGACATGCATCCGCCTGGGGGACCATTCAAAGACCACCCTCCACCCCAACATTGCGACTGGAGGGAGGTGTACTTCATGCATCCATGATTCCTGGGGGTCCCGCTCGTACCAGCAAACGATGGCAAACAGAGGAAGCGGGCCCTGCGGGGATACCTGACCTTGACCTTACTTGAAGAACCCTTGAGTGGTGGTCGTTCGGGGGCCGAGTGCCAGCGCATTTGCACCAGAACGGTACGGTACAGTCAGTACCTTTCCTTTCACAGAGGGCGGAATTGGAAGACCGGGGCGGTGGCCGTCAATGATGACTGGGTGACCAAATTTTTGGAGGTGGAGATGGGGTTAGACTGAACACGGCAGAGCCCAAAGATGAAGAGCAGCACTAGGGCGAACGGCCGCCGCGACACGATGCTCACCAACTCGGAAAACCGCCGTGGGTGCTGCCAGCTTGCCTCCACGAGTGGACAAGAGGTCAGGCCTGACAATGCGCGGATGCACACACCTAGCATTATGACGCGGGACGATTCGGGCCTTGATGCAAAATCGTGACTGCATGCCCCATCCTCACAGATGTCAGAGGCAGCGTCAGAATGGCCGCGCTCTGTCTCTTCTCCAACACTGCTAGGATCAATGGACCAGACAGCCACTGAACGAATGCGGTGCCTGCGGTGCCTTCCACATAGTGCTGGTCGACATACCTGACTAGAGGCGGCGCTGGACTGTGCCACCCCTACCCATACCAATAACAACCGCAGCTGGGAGCGCAGTGTTCGGTCAGATTTCGCCGAGTCAATCTGGGTGGGCTCCGCATATTCCCTCTAAGCCTGGCTGGGAAGTCGGGCCAGATGGGCGCTACAGAAGACTTGGTCCGGCCGGAGCGGGCTGCCTTCTTTCCACCATCGAGACTCCTCCCTGTCTTGTGCTTTTCCGTCGTTACTTCCGCCACCCCTCTCCTCAAACCCCTGTCACCCTCCCACCTCCCTGCCCTCATATGTGATGCCTGTCGCATATCATCATCATCATCAGGCAGGCGCTCCAACTGGAGATGGAGGAGGCCATTCAGATCCGTGCCGTCATGGGTTAAGCCGTTCAAGCATCTATATGTGCCTTGCTATACTATGCAGTACATACCATGCGCCTCGCGCTCTGCGAGGATATGGGTGCCCATCTCACGGAGCCGAAAACGTCCTCATCGTTGGACTCGGTCCTTGTATCATTTCGCAGAGCCATGTGTCTTGTTCGTCCGATCGGTTGAACGTTTGAGAAAGTCAATCATGGACAGCTCATCCAATGTGAAGTGTTCTATGGTTGTGTACTCCCTAGATCGCTCGGAATTGTCTTTGTTTGTGTTGGGTAAAGTGAGCAGCTTCAGCGTGCTCCAAGTACTGGGTAAAGTCCACGCAGGGGAGAAATTTCGCAGGTTAGGTAGGGTCACCACAAAAGAACTTACCATTGTAAACAATCAGGTAGGTAGTCTTGGAGTGCACCTGTGGAGGTGGCATCGTGCAGCATGCTCTCGAGAGCATGGTCGTATTGTACTATACGATACGTTATTGCTCGCTCCCAGAAGCCGCCTTATTGGTCCGCATATGGGCTGATCCCTAGGGCTGGCAAAGAAGGTGACCACAAAATTGGGGGTCTTCTGATGACGATTCAAGCAAGCATCCAGAACGTCCACAGTGGCGTCTATCCTTGTCGATTGGCGGCAAAGCCAATTATGACCGCGCGAGCAGGGCTGGACATCTCGAAACCTCTGCATTTACAAGGAAC